CTGTCTGAATTGTTTATATGCTCCGCCTCCCAGACGGTTAGTCATGCGCTAAACGGTAAATATTCCCTGACCCAAGCTTAAACATTATCCCTAACCTTAAATCTCACCCTACCCTTAACCCTACCTCCAGGTTCCCTTAATTTTAATAAAATTACACATATTTCTAAACCTTTCCTGTTTACCTGTCCTGGCCAGAGAGCAATATAAGCAATTTCTACCTCGAAAACGACGTGAATTACTATCCTTTAAACCAGTGTTATTTGGCGCTTTAAGGGATTCAGGATCATTTCCAATAAAAACATTTCTTATGCTTAAGTAATGGATTATACAAAGACCCAAAGTTCTACTAACTTACCATAGGTTTGCTTTCGGTAAATCCTCTTCAGTCCTTCACATTAATCACGTAATTAACTGTGTAAAATGTGCGGGTTTGTAGAAAGATCGTTCGCTTTTCGCAACTTTAAATTACATCTGCCAGTTGAACTGTCTGTAAATATGTGCAAAGGTACAAACTGGTCCACAAAAAGTATTTTGTCGGTTTGAAGTCTGCGAAGACAATTGGAAATTTCGTATGCAGGAATTTTTCCCGTCAAGAGGCCTAAGAGTAGTATATGGCAGGTATCAGTAACATAATCCTCTTTGTCGAACCGTTGCGATGGCAATTAAAATTGAGGATTTTGGTCAATATTTTATAAGCATCGACACATACCACATACTTTTAACGCTGATCTACTGGTTTGTGAGTAGATGTCTGCAAAAGTCACACAAAATACAATATACCGAATGTTTGAGTTGTGTCAGAACTGGAGGCTGGCCAAATTGCATAATTTTGAAGGTTTGTTTTATAGAAGTACACACTTTGCCTTATGTCGCTTTGCCTTTTTCTCTCCACTGCGAAGAGTATCGACCAAAGATGTTGTGTAAAACTACTTTTGCATAACCTCGCTGAAGGTTACTCGAGTAGTCTGCTCCGCAGGTGTTAGAATAATCCTTTACCTGAGATAGAGAGCCTTAAGTGACTTCTGGCAGCTGTATGATAACAACTTCCTGTGCAAAGATCTGCAAACGTCCTGCAATATCTGATAAAGGTCAGAAAATAGTGCGCTAAAAACGAATATGCGCAGTTTACTTAGTTAAGTTAAAGGGAAACCATATAAGTTTGATTCTGCGAAAATACGGGTAGTCCCTTACAGAAAGCGCCTAAGAAGTATTTTACCTGATACTTCTAACATACGATGCACTATTACCTATGAAAATGAAGTTCCTTTCAGGAAATTGCATTTGGTTCAAAGTATTTACTTACAGCGACCCAACTGATACACTATTGGGCAAAATCTTGAAAGGTTTTCCTAAATTAATAACGGTTACTGAAGTAAGCTCATTATACTGACAATTATACAGCCCAATCCCAAAATGGAAAACACCACAATTCCAGCCTTTAGTTGACCGTAAAATAGTACTCAGTAAGAAGGAATGCATTTTTTGGTGTTGTTAGATATCATTATGAATTAAAATATGCTTTGCCGGTAAAAATGCAAAAGGATGCCATTTTTGTTAGCAATCTGCGTTGCGTCCCCAATTCCATATGGATAGACGACCTATTAAGCTCGGTCAAAAAGTCAAAAGATAGAATAAAAAAGATTTATGTCCTTATTTCAAAAATGGCTTGTAATCACCCGCTCCTTAGTATTGAAGTCAGTGGACGTTAATCGCGGGTTAATTGCATGCAGCAACGGTTGAAATTCTTTCCCCATACTACGCCAACAGGCAAATTTGGGCATATTAAAAACGGTTGGCTACCTGATTCGTGTTTTTCAGGAGTTTTAATATTTAGTATTGCTATTGGTTCGTGAGTTGCAAACATAGTAGTGTCCTCATCCTGTGATATATGTTTTATGTTTCCAGTTGACGAGAGCGCATTATATAAGTATTAGCATTATAAAGCAAATCCAGGTAGTGTGAGATTTTTGAACAATTCAGTCATTTTTAAGTTCGTTTGGCCCTGTAAGTTTCTTTCGACCGATGCAGATGATTGGCAAGGGTAAATATTCCCTTGACATGCCTAGAAGGGTTTCTGTGTATTATACTTTCTGAAGTTGCCTCCGTCACAGACAACCTTGCGAACTATACCATTTCATATTTTCTCTAAAAACACGACATTTGTCCCCTAGAAGTTTAAAATTTTCACTGCTGAAGCTCCAATGGTAGGTGCTTCACAGTTATGTGGCAGGTGAATCGGCTTACTTATTCTCCCAAAATGCAAACTCTTTCACGTAGAGAAAC